TGCGTGTCCCTCGCGTGTCTTTTCACACCTCCTTACGCGCGTCACCAGGCTGTGATTGGTCTCTGACTACGTCCTTTAGAGTCTCACGTCTCCGTTTTCACAGCACAATACGGCCGTTATTAAAAGGAAGAACGTTTACGAGAGAACGGATCAGATTGAAGAGCTTTTAAATATGAGCGCTTGTACAAGCCGTCATTGGCGGACTATGAGGACGCCGGATGGCCTCTGATTCATGGAGGGAGATCTCCACAAACGAGGGGAACAAAGTCGTGGAGGAAAATACGGGACAAATGTGTCCGTGATGAAAAGCAGCAGGGTGGATGCACGGGGCAATAAAGTCTATGATACATAAATAAAGCAACCAGCGACTTCCACACACAAAGACGTGACTCTCTAGGTCGTCTTCAACAAAACACGTGACTCCACCTGTTGTTCTGGAGGTGAATCGCTCTGCAACACACGCAGGACTTTACAACCAGGAAGTGAAACCATAGAACCACGAATCAAAGAATAGAATCATGAATAAAAACGAGTCCATCGACACGACGAAAAGCCGCAGACACAGTTGCAGAAGCATGCATGTAACTGATGCTAATTAGCTAACATGTGTTAGCGTATTAGCTTGTAACAACAAACAAATGAGGGAGAGCAACTATTAGTGTTAGCCTAGCTTAACATGGGTTGCTTTTGTGTGTGCTGACTGAAGGAAAGACTCCATGAAGCGTGGACAGTCACAGCTGAGGAAACACACAACATCCACACAGCAGAAGTTGTGTGTGTGTGTGTGTGAGGCAGCTGCTGCAGGGAGACAGGTGACACACACACACACACACACACGCACACACACAGGGAGTGTCGTTGATCAGACATCGAACACAGAACTCATTCATGAGGACGAAACAGAGCAGATGGAGACATAAATACACACATATAAATACACACATATAAATACACACATACATTGCTATAGTCAAGTTTTAAAGGATAATGTTGTTGTTGTTATTGTTGTTGTTATGAATCCCACTGCCCCGCATAGTAAGCCCCGCCCTGTGCAGCATTGAAGCGCTACCATTGGCCAGTGCTCACCTGAGCTCCTAGAAGTCAATGTCTGACCTCTACCTGACCTCTGACCTCTGACCTCTCCGCTCTGCATGTGATAAACTGCTTGTTCCTCCTCACTGAGAGCAAAACACTCGACTAGATCTCCACTCTCTGCTGTCCTGCTCCTAAATGGTGGAAGGAGGTCTCTGAAGACATCAGGACCACAGAGAGCCTTCACATCTTCAGACTAAAGACACACCTCTTCAGACTCTACCTCCACTAACACACTAACTAACTGCAGCACTTACATTGGACTTATAATGGTTCTTATCTACAGCAAGTTGTAAACTGGCTTATTTGATGAAATTGCACTTTCTTGTTTCTTGTTCTTCTGAGTTTGTGTCCTTATGGTTGAAATGTTCTTATTGTAAGTTGCTTTGGATAAAAGCGTCAGATAAATGACGCGTGATGTGACCAGCTGCTTGTTTACTGACGGTCCGAGGGAATCGGTTACTGAATGTGATTAGCCCCGCCCTGCTTTATGGTCTATTAGAGACCTGTCAATCAGCGTGTAGCCCCGCCCTAAAGCACCCCCCTCCTTTATGGTCTATTATAGACCTGTCAATCAGTGTGTAGCCCCGCCCTAAAGCATTCCCTGCTTTATGGTCTATTTGAGACGTGTCAATCAGTGTGTAGTCCCGCCCTAAAGCACCCCCTGCTTTATGGTCTATCCGAGACCTGTCAATCAGTGTGTAGCCCCGCCCTGCTTTATGGTCTATTTGAGACCTGTCAATCAGTGTGTAGCCCCGCCCTAAAGCATCCCCTGCTTTATGGTCTATTAGAGACCTGTCAATCAGCGTGTAGCCCCGCCCTAAAGCATCCCCTGCTTTATGGTCTATTAAGCGAATTTGACAATTCGACTCCAGCCTAGGAATTCTCTGAATAAGGAAAGGAACTTCAATGCTTTCTTAAGTAGACATTTCATTGGTCGGTTCAGTACGCAGATCAGATCATGTGACTAACTGGTTTGTGTTAATAACGTTTTCCTTTGAACCTGGTTGTTTGTGTGTCTGCGCGACTCACACTAACAACACATGAAGCATCGGAGACGCTTCTTTGTAGCCGCTGCAGACGGACGTCCCCAACAAGCGTCTCCGTCCATCACAACTAGCAGCTCAGTGGAAGAGGAGTCCATTCACTAAACACCGCCTTGTCCTTTCCTAACTCCTCATCAACTCTCCTAACCACCTTTCCTTGACCCTGTGACGTATTCCACAGGTCAAGGAAAGGTAGTTAGGAATAGATGTCAGGGGGTCCTTTATTAGACAATTCAAATCCAGCCTTAGAGACCTGTCAATCAGCAGGTGGCCCCGCCCCAAAGCGTCCCCTGCTTCATGGTCTGTTTGACTCTAAATGGACCATCGGTCACTAAATGAACATCATGTTGTGTTGAAGAAGACTTGAAACTAGAGACTGAGACATAAACTCATGTTTACAACGTTTACTGAGGGAATAAATCCAGAGAGAAGTAGAGTCATTTTAGACGTCTTATGCTAGAATAAAGCTAACAACACAAGCTAGCTATTAGACTGTGATGTGATGAGAGAACTTCTGGTCTCCACCCTGATTGGACAACCACACTCTACACTTTAACAGCGTGTGTGTGTGTGTGTGTGTGTGTTGATAGGATGTATAGCACAGATGAGCCCAAACAAAGTCAACAGTTCCAGAAACAGCAAAAAAAACACACACACTTTTTAATGAAACCAACAAGATTAATTATCAATAAACTTATGAGGAGCCACTGATCAGCTGTCTCTGAAATAATGAATCATATTTATTAAATCAACCCAAGACACAATGAAGACGAAATATACGTTCCTCTGAGATGTAGTCAGAAGTCCCACTGGTTGAGATGCTATGCTATGCTATGCTATGCTATGCTGTCTGACTATCAAACCGAGATGTAAACACATTGTAAACCACTCAGACAACTTGTTCCCATTGTGAACGTCTCTGGAACGTTTCGGTTCCTCTCGCATTGATCGCTCCTGTGATTCCCGGAGGACACGACTTCCCGTCGGCTTCCATTAACACTAATGGGCTCTCACAGGATATGGATCTCCTTCAGCACCGGTTTCCAAGCGTTCTAGGAGTTTGGAGAACAACACTGGGGGAAATCCTTCTGCTGTCCTACACAGGGTCCTCTGAATGTTGAGGGACTGAACACCTAAAGTACATAGAGAGAACAAGGGGGGACCTCTGGGGAACATCTAGAGAACTAGGGATCGCCTGAGAACATCTAGGGATCGCCTGAGAACATCTAGGGATCGCCTGAGAACATCTAGAGATCGCCTGAGAACATCTAGAGATCGCCTGAGAACATCTAGAGATCGCCTGAGAACATCTAGAGATCGCCTGAGAACATCTAGAGATCGCCTGAGAACATCTAGGGAGCGTCTGGAGAACGTAAACGAAGCGCAGAGACGGTTTGTACTGGCGATGATTTCCATCTTCATCTGTCAACATTTGATTGATGGTCTGAAAACAAGTCCGTCAAATGTTTCAAACTAGAGAAGCATCAAACGGTGAAGAGCAGGAAGAAGAATTAACTGCTTATTGATCACGAAGAGGAAACACAAACATGATCACAGGAGGTTCTGGAGGCCGCTGCTTCTCTCCATCCGGGTACTCGGGTCCCTCACGGTACCGAGAAGGTTCTGTTTATTGTCCTGAACGCGCGCGCGTACACAAACGCGCGGGTTGCGCGCGCTTGCATGGACGTGCACGCACACACCTCCTCCTCCTCCTCCTCCCGCGGCCACGCCTGGTTCTGCTCCACGCATGGCGCACCGTTATTCTCCTCCATCCTCAGACCCTAATGGCTGCTGGGGGCGGACACGCGGGCCGAGGAGCGCCGCGGCCCGGGTGCAGGAGGCCGGGAGGACCGGTGGAGAGGGACCGGGCCTCCCGGAGGACTCACGGCCGCAGACAGAGTCTCCTCAGACTGGCAAGTTTACCGAAGGATCCGATGCAATCACAGCGGAAATACACTAGAGACCAGTAGAGACCAGCAGAGACCAGCAGAGACCAGTACAAGGTGCTTACCTGCTCAGAAGATCTCAGAGAGTCTGCGAACTTCAGCCGAGGACGCGAGGAGTCCGGCGGGAGGAGCGGCGGACGGGAGGCTGCTGCAGGGAATGACGGGAAAGAATCCGCACTGCCCCCCCTCCTCACTCCTCCCCTTCCTCCTCCCCCTCCCCACTCCTCCCCTTCCTCCTCCCCCTCCTCATCCTCCGAACACAGCTAGCTGCCTCTCATTTGGTGGGCTGCGTCCTCACGAGGACCCGGATTTCCGGTCTAAGAGGGCGGGTCCTTTAAGGACCGCATAGTCTGAACCCAGCGGTCCTACGGGGGACTTCCTGCTTGCGTCATCGGCCTTTCCTCCGCTGCTCCCGTTGCCTAGCAACCCGCTGTCCCAGATAAAGATGTTTATCTTCTTCCACCTTCTGATAGATTTTAAATTCTAATTAAATCAGTTAAACCCTGAATGTTTCAATCTTAAGGCAGAGATCAATAACCTGATACATACTTGTTTGTTTCTCTTCATCAACTTAATTTAAGGTTCTTCTCCTCAGCAGCAAGTTTAAGATCCTTATAACATCACATTGCTAGAGGTTCGCTCCATAGATGCTGGTCACTTGTTCCAAAAGTAGCAGAACCTTCAGTTATCGATCTCCTCTTCTGTGGAACCAGCTTCCACTTTCAGTCATTCATCATTTAAGATGAAGCTTAAAACTTTCCTCTTTGATATTAGTTAGAGCTAGCTCAGGTTAGCATGGACGCTCAACCTGGCTCACAAAGACAGAGACCCGTCATGGACCGACCGGCCCCCCCCCAGGAGGCACGAGGAGAGCATTTTATTGAGGGTTGGGGTGAAAAGAGGACCAGGACCCCCAGGAGGCACGAGGAGAGCATTTTATTGAGGGTTGGGGTGAAAAGAGGACCAGGACCCCCCCCCGGGGGGGGGCAGGAGACGCAGCAGTCAGAAGTCCAGCCACTCGGCCATGTAGACGCAGTGCGACGGAGAGATCTCTCCTCCATCGTGACAGTCCTCAAACACCTGAGGACAGAAGACAGGAAGTCAGCGTTGGGCCAATGAGAAGACTCAAACCCCCCCCCCGATCCCTTGTTACCGGGCAGAGTCCACAGGGCGTCCTGACCAGGCCCGTGGGCTGGATGACGGCGTTGACCCCGCGGTACAGCTTCATCTGTCCGTCCACGCTGCCCGCCGTGCCCTCCTTGGCGGCGATGACGCTCATCTCCACCTTCCCGTCGTAGATCAGCGTGTTCAGGATGGTCTCGATGTCGTCCATGGACAGGTCCACCTGGTGTTAAACACCTGTCAATCAACCTGCAGGCAGAGGTCTACCCTCAGCGAAGACAACCGGTAGTGACATGTGTGACGTCACAAAGGGGGCGGAGCCGCTCGGCGTCACCTTGCTGATTCCCAGCTCACAGATGTACTTCCAGACTTCATGGGAGGTGGCGAAAGAACTGTTCCTCTGCACCATGGGGCTCTGCTTACTGTCGATGGCTGCTTCTGCCTGAACACACCACGGGTCACGTGACGCCACGCGGGTCACGTGAGGCCACAACAACCAAACACCAGCAGCACAGGAGCAACAGAAACCAACAAATACTAATGAATCATTTCCTCATACAAAACTGGTGACATTAAGGTTGCCACCTTCAGTACGGACAGATAAGGGACGCTACGGCCAACGGGGGGACGAGGCGGACGTGGACAGGGAGGGAAGGACTCAAGTATCACCCACTCAGGGGCAGAACAGGACGCGTCTTCACAGAGGGTGGGATTATTTGCATGCGATGCTGCAGTGACAAACCGCGTCCCGTATTGATTGAAAACGGGACGGTTGAGTATTTGCAGGGACGGGTGTCCCCCCTGGGGGACATCAGAATAGCAGTTTAAGTTGAACCTTGCTCTGTAGGAACTTGAAGCACTGCTGGTTGAGAACTTCAACGAACTCGGACTCAAAGTCCTGGTCGCTGTACCAGGCGCCGCCCGTCACCGAGCGGTCCGGCTGCAGGTTGTACAGCATGTAGACCTTCTTCTTGGAGGCCTGCACACAACCAAGGGGGGCGGGTCAGAGGGGGAACCGGGTCTGAGCTGCTGAAGGTCACACTTGAAACTCACAGCCACGGATTTGACGGCTTTGATGAGCTTCTTGCTCTCCAGGTTCTTCAGGATCTTGTTGACCTCGGTCAGAGGGAGGTTGCTCTTGAAGCGGATGTCTCTGCTCCAGATCCCTGGAGACCAGAATGTCAGGGTGAGACCAGGACACGTGGCACCGGGTCCAGATGTGTAGAACAATCAGAGGCCCCCTCAGGCCCTGATGGCACAGATGTCAAACGCGTGGCCCGCGGGCCAAATACGGGACGAGAGGCCGGTTGGGTTTGTTTTTTCATATTGATATAAAAAGGTCTTGGGCCTTAAACCTGGACCCTTTAGGATACCTTTGTTTCCTGCATCCTCGATCACCTGATAGACCAACTTCTCCTGGTTGTCTGAGCCTTTCATTTTACTGAAACACAAGAAGGAGGACGAGGTGATGGAGAAGAGGAGGATCATCGTCATTAGAGGTGTAGAAGAAGAGGTTACCCAGCGCCCTGCGTGTCCTTCATCCTGTACAGGAGACCTGAACTGTTCCTCAGCAGGTCCAGCTGACCCTGGAACCAGAAACACAGAGCACATGACAACACTGGAGTCCAATTGTCCAAAAATGACCTGCTGCTGCCCGTCCCTCTGTTCCTCACACGATCTGCGTTTCTACGTCATCACCCTTATTTCTCGTGAACGGACCAATGATGCGTCACGATTTAAATGGGACTCATCTCCTTCGGTGAAGGGGGGTCCAGTGGTTCCTGTGCTAAATAGGCCGGTCAACGAATACTCTACATTCGACTCCGGCGCGCCTGACTGACTGAATATCACATGAATAAAATAGACCAGATGTCGGTACCTAAAACCTTCAATCACTGAATGAAGCCCGACGTCCTCATTCCTGATACTTGGGACAAGAACCGCGACATTAAACAGAGAGACACCGAGAGACAAAGAGAGAGAGAGAGACACATTACATTTACATTACATGTCATTTAGCGGACGCTTTTGTCTACTCTAACCCTAACCCAAGACACAGAGAGACACAGAGAGAGACACAGAGAGACACACCGACAGACAGAGACACAACAGACAGACAGACAGACAGACAGACAGACACAGAGAGACGACAGACACAGAGGCAGACAGAGAGAGACAGATCTGCGGTCTTGGTCATTAGTTAGTAACATGTTGTTAAATAGGTTTAAACTTAAATAAATTACCTATACAAGTAGTTATGTCTCGTATTAATTTGTCCTGTTATTGACGCATCTAAAGCGCAACCAGATATTCAGATATCGGTCTTTTTTTAAAGCGAATGTTCGAACGTCCCTTTTGACAGCCCTACTGCTGAAGGAGCCCAGCGAGGAAGCATCGAGGCTCCTTTCCTTCATCAGACAGCTGCTATCTACTCCACTTCCTCTCACGCAGTGAGGAACCTTCAGAAGAACATTTGTTGGTATCCAGCCAGGACACAAGTCACTGACCAGCGACAGCAGCTTGTTGATGACCATGGCTCTCTGCTGAGGCTCCAGGTGGGGCATGTCGTTCTGGATCACCTGGTCTGTGATCCCGTGAGGGAGCTGCTGACACAGCTCTTTGATCCTGGACGGGGACACACACGGGGGGACACATGGGGACACATGGGGACACATGGAGACACACACACACCGTTTAGTTCGGTGGATTAACGTAAATACGGAAGTCATCCCTTCACGTGGCTCCGGGTTCCGGCCTCAGATGAAGTCAAACCCCGGGTTCGGCGCGCTGGTTACGGACCCGTGAAGCGGTTTGTGTGTCGACTGTGAGCCGAACTCACGACGAACTCACTCCGGTTCAGAAATGGTGTTTATTCACATCCAAGTAACTTTCGTGAGTGTGATGATGGGCGAGTGAACGTGAAATATTCGGTTCTGCGTTCGGCGGACCGACCTGTTCTCCACCTCCACGACGTCCAACACGTTCGTCTCCCTTTTCAACTTCACCTCCGACATCTTGGTTCCGTCCCCGTCTTCTCCCCGAGCTGCGGTCCTGTTATTTAGCCTGGTAGCTAATGTTGTGTCAGACAGCCATGTTGGTTCCGGGTCCTTTAAGTCAGCAGGGTCGTCCTGAAAAACTGCCTGCTGAATAAATCATTTCGAGATATAAAATAAAAGCTTTTTGTTTTATTGATTTAAAATAATAATATAAAAAATATATTAAAAGACATTTAAGAGTCCTTCGGGTAAGTTCCCTCCTCACGGGGCTTACTTTTCTGGTAAAAGAAAGTCGCTCATTGGTAATCAAAACTATAATAAACCGTGCCTGGAGGAGCGCGTCACCATGGCGACGCGTCGGCAGCAGGACCTCGTTGTCATGGTGACGCGTCCGCAGAAGAAGGTCGGTTCAGCCAAAGTTTCCTTTGCTTCATCTTTAAGCTGAAGTAAGCCCTTATTCAAAGCTTCTCTATGATTCCTGTGTGTTTAAGTGCTTCTACACGACGTGTTGTCTGTACGATCAGCTAACTCCTGTTATCTGAAGTATTATAATTTACTTATTTACCGCTTAAACGCTAAAACAGTTACGGTACTCATACAAATATCGAACTATACTGCTATAGTACAATACGTAAGTATATGCTGTGTGAGTTGTGTTATTCCACACAGCTGTAGTTCCACACTGTTGTACTTGATGGATTGATTGACAGGCAGACTCCCGTCGTCATGACAGCAGGAGCAGTGTCAGCTCCGCTCATCATTCCCATGATCCACCTGCAGACTCACAGAGCCAAAAACCACATAGACACCAACACACCTGTCTCCATTCAATCAGGTACAAGCACACAGCTCTGTCCTCTCCCCCTCACCTTCATCATCATCATCATCACCTGTCTGTCCAGGTGTCTTTTCAGGGAGATACAAGAGACATGGTAGGAAGGACCTGTTCTCATCAGACGTTCTGTCCTACCATGTCTCCTGCCCCCTCTGGTCTCCTAGACACTCCTGATGTTCTGATCTTCTACACTCTGGATGGGTCTAAGCCGTCCTTCGGGCCTCGGGAGTCAAAGGGCAGCAGGAGGTACGGCGGCCCGATTCTGCTGCCCGCTGGTCGAGTGGCCGTCAGAGCCGTCGCTGTCACCAGGTAACTGTCACTTCCTGTCCCGTCCCTGTTTCACCAACATCTGTGGCTGAAGACCGTCAAAATTCTGATTACTAATCCCCCCCCTCTCGCTCTAGAGACGGCAGAGACAGCTCCACAGTGACGAAGGTTTTCTCTGTTGAGCTTGTTGAGTCAAACGAGGATCAAGTAAGACTTCATTTCCTGTCGTAGACTTCAATATATGTACATATTAAAGTTTGAAACTGTTTTCATTTCAGCGTCAGTGTGAAGGAACCTTGATCAGCTCTGGTCCTTTATTGAAGCCCTCAGGTCTGTTACTCTACAAATGAATAAACATGTGTAATAACATAATAAATATAGTCTGTGACAATATTACTGTTAAATTACGTCCTCCATCAGGTGGTCTCCTGACCGGGGGACTGGGCTCTCCCACCAAACCACAACCAGCTGGATCCTCCCAACCTTCCCAGTCAGCGGCGAGCAGACAGCAGACTGACTTCCTGCGGTACGGACACGCTTCCACAAGACTCCTCTGATGTGTCCTCGTCTCCTTCTGAAAACCAAACCAGCAAATGGACGTGTCTCTACCTGTGTGTCCAGGTGTGCTCAGTGTCAGCGTCCTCGTCCCTCTGATCCATTCTGTGGGTTCCGTGCTCAGTGTGGACCTTCACTTCCTGTGTTAGATGAGCAGAGACGCCGCCCTGCTGAGGGAGGACAGGTACCTCACCGCTGTCCCTGGATTCAGCTCATTGACCATGATCTGATTTATTGATATTGACAGATAGGGACCATGTGTGTGTCTGTATGTGTGTGTCTCAGGTGCTTCGCTGTGTGTTGTGTAACTCTCTGGTTCCTGTTAACACTCACACATGTTTAATCTGTGAGGCTGCCGTCCATCAACAACAGCCACAGTCTAGCGGTGCACGTCAGGTGTGTGTGTGTGTGTGTGTGCGCGCCTGAGCAGCCCAGTGCCCCCCGTGGGCTCAGCAGCCTGCAGGACGTGGCGCTGCTTTAGGTAAGCTAAGCTAAGCTATCTAAGGCTATCTCTTGGATAGCCTAGCTTAGCACTAAGACTGGAGCTTCTGTTCATTTAAATGGATGGATGGAGCGGGGCGAGAAGTTTGAGCCCGTCTTTGTGCTAAGCTTGTGCGGAGAGTGAAGCATTGTGGGAAACATAGTGCTATGTGTACTTCTAGCCCGGCCACGCGGCCAGCTATGTGGTTTGTTGGCGTTGCGGAGCGAATGGACCCCCGCATGCCTTCTACTGCGCAACCTGTGGCGCCTTCCTGGAAGCCCCGCCCCCACCAACATCTTGCGGTGACATCACTCAACCTGTTGGGGCTGCCGCCACACTCCAGGTACACCAGAACATCTGACATGATGTATCTCCTAGTAAACAACATGTGACACACACTGTCTCTACCTGTGTGAGCAGGGGTCAGCCCCTTGGAGAGCAAGGCGACCCTCCGGCCCCCCTCCACCCCCAAAGGTAACAACGCCCAGTAAGGATCAGTCCACGCAGACAGTGAGATTCTATTACCCATCAGCCACGGAGCTCCAGAGGAAGGAAACACAGAGGAAACTTCAACTGAGCAAGCAGCATTCAGCCAGAGACCAACGGCCACCACTGACCTCCATCAGCCCAGGGAGAGGTGAACTAATACTACTAGTACCACTAGCAGTACTACTGTAGGAGTAGTAGCACCACTGACCTCCATCAGCCCAGGGAGAGGTGAACTAATACTACTAGTACCACTAGCAGTACTACAGTAGGAGTAGTAGCACCACTGACCTCCATCAGCCCAGGGAGAGGTGAAAGACTCTGGACAGGAAACAAAATAGTCTTGTATTATTATTACTCGTACTAGTACTGACCTATGTGCGCCCTGATAGAGGTATAATACCACTACTACCTGCGCTAGTTGTACTAGTATTTATTTTTTACTAGTGATACTAGTAGCATTTCTTCTTGACTCAAACCCCGTCCATGTCCTCAGGTTTCTGGAGGAAGCAGCTGGATCACCTGTGTGCTCACCTGAGGAGCTACGCCCAGAACAACGCCCCCTTCAGGACCCTGCTAGGAGAACCCCGTCTGGGCCAGGTACGCAAAGGCGAACCCGTACCTCACCTGTATCGTGACCGGTCCTGATCCTCTCCACGAACAAATCTCAGTCTAGATCCTCTATGTGAGTCAGTCTCGAGGGAGGAAGAGCGATCTCCTTGAGTTTTCAATGACCCAGTATCAGATCTTGTGATCACCTGACCAGGTGCAGGCGGTTCTCCCTGTGCGGTACCTCCGGTGGATGTCAGGTGACGTGTTGTGCTCCTGCTCTCTTCAGATGGTTTCCGCTGCGATTCAAGAAGATCGTTATGAAGTCAGCTTGACCTTCAGCTTTGTGTCAGCCGGAGGAAGACAACGTCAGGTCTGTCGATGACCCGAAGGATCGGAGTTCACCTCCGATCACGTGTTTGGCGAGTGACGAAAGGTGGGCGTGTCGGTTCTCAGGTGGAGCAGGCAGCTGACGGCCTTGGACCCCCAGCTGGGACCGAGACTCTGGGCGCCACGATAGAGCCATCGGTTGACTGCCAACGCGGCACATGGTCCGAAGATAAAGCTAACGATGCTAACGACGCTCACAGACCAACCCTGAGACCCAGACCTCCGGTGAGAAACCCGGCACAATGTCTGAACTCGCCTGACACACGGACTCTCTGATCGGTTCTCGTGGTTCCAGGTGAGGGATGTGCAGCTGCTGAAGGAGCTCGGTCCAGGTCCGGGTCGAGGTCGCATCAGCATCATCCAGCAGCTCCTGGATCAGGTACAAGCGTCTGTGCAAAACTTCTGAGATGCTGCCCAATTGGTCGATACTATTGCTGCTTTTACCGATCACCTGACATGGACTGATTGGTCCGTCACCAGGGGGCGGACCCGTCCTGCTGCGACGCGAATGGCCGCCATGCTCTAGCGGTTGCCGTGGTGAACGGTCACCATGACGTACTTCCTGTTTTGGTGCAGCGTGGAGCCGACGTGGATCAGCAGTCTGGAGAGTTAGTAGTCCTTGTAGTAGTGCTACTACCACTACGGTGGGATGGCTACTACCACTAGTAGTAGTACTACTAAGTAATAGTGGTAATACTTTCAGAGAAAGAAAAGCTGCGGTGCAAAAAGTAAATCCAGTAACATCAGCTGATCAATAACAAAGTCACACTCTTCTTCGTCAGGATGAAGAACACGGCTCTGCATGAAGCTGCAGCTCTGGGCTCTGAAGGTCTGAAGGCTGCTGAGGTCCTGCTCAGGTATGAAACACCTGGTCCACCTGTACCAGCAATAGTACTGTTATTAGTACTGGTCCTACTAGTACTCTTACCACTACAAGTACTGCTGCTGAACACCATCAGCCCAGCAGAAGTACAACGCTGCTGATACAACACACAAACCACAAAGACACAAACCAAACCACAAAGACACAAACTAAACCACAAAGACACAAACTAAACCACAAAGACACAAACCAAACCACAAAGACACTAACCAAACCACAAAGACACAAACCAAACCACAAAAACACAAACTAAACCACAAAAACACAAACTAAACCACAAAGACACAACCTAAACCACAAAGACACAAACCAAACCACAAAGACACAAACCAAACCACAAAGACACAAACCACCACAAAGACACAAACTAAACCACAAAGACACAAACTAAACCACAAAGACACAACCTAAACCACAAAGACACAAACCTAAACCACAAAGACACAAACCTAAACCACAAAGACACAAACCTAAACCACAAAGACACAAACCAAACTACAAAAGACACAAACCAAACCACAAAGACACAAACAGTTTACATTCGGAGCCGTCTTCAACCATTGTGAGACGATTTGACAATAATCGTGGAAACCTTCTTCACCCGAGGCCAGCCGAAGCGCTCCGGGACTCGGTCGTAGGTTGTGTCCACCCCCAAATGAGCTCACACACAGGTGGGGAGTGGGATAGGTAACTACACTTTGTTAATATAGCGCTTTGGGGACTAGCAACTGTTCCAACAGACGGTTACTCCAGCGTTTGCGACCCTATACAAGAGGGCATTTCTTTGATTGAAAAGTGTGCGAGAGGGTGCTAGCACTTACCCCCGGCCGCAGGGTCATCCCTCGTCCACAGGCAGGGTCTGGTCGCGCCTGGTTCGAGGGTAAGGGTTCCTCCCACTGGGGGCGCTCCAACTTGCCCCGGACTCTGTGGACAGATGCCTTCGTCTGGCCAGTGGGAACTCCGAAAAAAGACTGCAGTTCGAGAGGACCCCTTCAGCTAAGTCGGGGGATCCCT